ACACACACACACACACACACACACACACACATTTCCATGAACAAGCAAAGCAGTGTGAGCAGGATTTCAGTTGTGAGTCCTATGTGACTTTCAGCCTCCACTGGATAAAAAAAAAAAAGAAAACCAGCAGAATAACACCATGACCTTTACAGAGAGTAACTAGACCAACCTGCAGTGATGAATGGTACTGTAGTTTCCTCTACACACACATCACACACACACACACACACACACACACACACACACAGACAATCTCAGCTGAACCTGCATTTCTGTCTCCAAAACAACGGCAGTTAAAGCCACATTCATGTTCTTATGTGAACATCTACATGTATGTCTCTTACATGGATTTTTGATCTAATCATGCCATTATTTGTCCTTTCTGTCTTTATTTATTTTGTTTTTGTCTAAATACTGAGGACCTCAGAAGGCTACTGTTTAGATTCATATCTTTCCCTCCAGGTAGCTGCTGGTTTTACATGTACAGTGTGCAGAGAGAGCAGGGAGGCAGAGGTCCAAGATCCTATAATGACTGAATTTTCATTTGATGGTTTAATGGTTAATCTTTTTCTTTACCATCAGTTAATCACATTCAATTAGAGTCAGTCAGAAAAACGTCCTCAGATTTCTTACCTGGAACATGATCCTGTACTGCTCCTCCGGACGTTTGACCACACACATGTTGCAGCCCATGATGACGTCTGACACTCGTCCTCTTTATCTCTCTCTCTGCTTTCTTCTCGTCTTTTTTATCTCTCCGTCCTCTCTCTTCTGTCTATGCAGGTCCCTCAGGAAACAGCTGACACTCTGTATCAGTAATCCAACTCGTCCGTCTGACCTTTCACCTCCCAGTCAGACGTCCTCAGGTCAGTCCTCACTCTCTGATTGCGTGATAATTTGCCTCTTTATCAGCCTCTGATCTTTGACCCACAATGAGGCAATGAATGTTTGTGTAAATGACAGAGTCTGAAGCTAAGATGAGGTCATCTGAATTTAAAAGGGACGGGTTAAAGAAACCAAATCAGATTTGAGACAAAGTGAAGTTGTAGTCCTCTCTGACAAAGATCCTCTATGTAGGAAGATTCATTCTTGGTCTTGTAAAATTTGACCATAAATCTTCAAAGAAATTTGATTAAGCTGTTTAATGAAAAAGTTCCAGTGAGATTCAAATGTCTTCTCCTGTTTTCCAGGTTTATTTCAGAGATATAAAAAACTTTTGTTAAAAGTGAATTTTCAGTCAGTGTTTTGGCAACTACGCTCAATGAGGGGAACTGTTGTCTCACTTTCTCCTCAGAAAAGCAAAACTTCCCATAAGAAATGAAGCCACTTTATCAAAAAATCCCCAACTGTGCTTCATTAAGTTTAAGAGGCTTTCATGTGTCAAACTTCTTCAACAGAGACGTCTGTTTGTTCAGAAAAGTGTCACTCGTGATAAAAACCCAGCTGAGTTCACTTTCTGTCGTCTCCTCTCTGCTCTGTCACTCTGAAGACAAAAGCGAAACCCACTTCTGTGTTTCTTCACGTTTTTCTCTCGCAGACACAAACAATGATGAAACGAGAGACAAAAGGAGCAGGACATTTCTGCTTTTTTTTTTTTTTTCTGTTGTGATGCTCCTCACAGCAAACAGCTTTTATCTGTCGTGCTGCAGGGGGCACAGAGGCGAGATGCTGCGTCTTTTCATCACGGTGAAAAATTAATTTTTATTCATGCGTTGCAGATTGTTTCAGCCCTGCAGGGGACGAGGAGGAGGAGGTGGAGGAGGAGGAG